TTTCTTCCTACTTCTGACTTCGTATTACATTTTCACACAAGTTCCTGTCCTTTCTATTCCTTACATTTTTAAAACAAATGTTACTCATTACTCTTGGCTTGGGTTTAATGTCTATAAATATTTATTTCACTTCATTTGGCCATCCAATACAGATCATTGGCGCCATCCACATCTAGTGAAAACTAGCGTAACTGGATGAGTCATATAAGGCAAACAGTCATTGGTTACTGTAGCTAAAGGAAATCATCAGAAGAAAGCAGGTGTTCTTCAAACTGCAAATGCGAATTGTCTATGCCATGCTACAATATTAGATTCAGAAAAAGATGTTGAAATGTCTGAAAGGTAAGACACAGGCGAGAGCGTATCGGGAGATGAAGACTGAGACCAACAAGAACTCCCATCGTCCCAAAGAATCTTTCGATTTAGTCAAAAAATTGAGCTTTCAATTCATATAGTGGCATCTGGCTGTTTTTTCAAAGGGGACTTTAAACTTTTATACCTTAAGTAGTTTTTGGGGCACATACTTTTTCATTTTTACTCGATTAAAGAGGTCAAGTTGATACAAGAATGTTTTTAAACAGCAGTATCTACTTCTACTTAAGTAACAAATGTGTGTACTTTTGACACCACTGACCTTCTCTGACTTTTAACTTTGTGCTTTGTGCTATTCTTTACTCTAATTCCTTTGTGTTTATATTTCTGTGTCTACTGTATATGAAATAACCCCAAAATTATGTCTATTACAGATAAGCCTTGAATGCAGCACTTTTGACAGTAAACCAGTTAAGCTTCCTTTGGCACTGAGAGAAAAGCAAACTACACTGTCAAACAGGACACATGTTCCACTTGTGAAAATAAATCTGTTGGGCTTCTCTATAGCATGAAAAAAACTAATCTGAGTGCTACAGTACTGGACAGGACATGTTGAAAACAGTGTTTATTTTGTGATATTACATCACTGCTTACCTCTGAAATCGTCACAGCAGGTCCCTCTGTATTCACAGTCTGAGCTGCAAGAGCAGTTTCCAGCCTGGTAACCACAGTTGTATTGGCAGGAGCTTTCAGCTTCAAGAGAACATAGCCAAATTATGTATAAACTGGCAACACCTCACATTTTTTTGAATATTGACTATAACCACAGTATCTTACCAACACTTGTGTAGCTAGCTTGAAATCCCCTGTTGGTCACGCTGCCATCAGTTCTGAAGCGAACAGTTAAATAGCGGCCAGTGGAATGGTAGACAACATAATTTGTGCTGCAGAGTTGCAACACATTCCTGCTACTGGTACTGGAGCCATCGTAAACATAAACCCAGTCGCAACAACACTCGGTGCTGAAACCAAACAGGGAGAAAAAAATTGAAAATAATAAACATATAACAGAAAAGCTGAATGTTTTGCCTATTCAGAACATTCACTTACTCAAGATCAGAAATCTGCAAACGAATAAACTGACGACCAGGTCTAATGTACCAAGTACAGTCTAGGTAGTTTTGGTAGTTGTTTGGATAGTTGGGGCTTTCAAAAGTGCCACTGCTGCCATACAGGTACCCGCCACAGTTTCCTAATGAAAACAAAAACCATGAAACCAACAGTCTGTAAACCTGCACAACAAAGGTGTTTCAACAAAGTAACTTTTTACCCATTAAAATATTTCACTCATATTGACTTTATTATTTTATAGCCAGAATTGAAATGGATCTAATTAATTTAATATACTGTAAATCAGTCGGTACATGTGGATTGAGTAAACTCTTTAGTTCAGTGTCTAACTGGATGTGTTTATTTGGTTAAGTGCATTGAAATGACATTTGTTGGGAAGTTACATATAAATGAGCATAATTAAATATATCCATCCCAAGTGTATTTGTTTTTCTGTAATTCCATGAAAAATTCTTCGAAGATGTGGGTTTTGTTTTTTGGGTTGTTTTTTCTTTTTCTTTTTTTTTTTTACATTTATTATATATTTATTATATTTTTTTCCCTTTAAAATAAGTATGAAAAAAAACCCGAATGATTTTCTTTCACTTATAGGTTGCACAACATCCTCCTACCTGGTGTGGGGGCAGTAGTTTGAAGATGTCCACATTCATCTGCATGATTTAAAAAAATAAAGTGATTTTTCTGATCATATATATAACGATAGGAAATAACTGATTACAAAGGTGAAATACGGATGCAGATCCAGCTGATACTGCAGATTTTGTGCTTACAGTTGAAGTCATGGCAACAGTTTCCATTCCACTGACAGGAGGATGAGCAGGAGCAACTTCCCATATCAGAACCACAGTTGTAACGACAGGAAGGCTGATCTGTGAGAAAAGTTAATGTAGTTGGAAAAATGACCATATAATCCATTTTTAAGCTTATATCTAAAAGTTCAACTACACTTGTTCCCCCGTAATTCTTTAAAATATTAGAAAACTACTGCACACAAAATTGTAAAACCTTCTTGATCTGGTCAAATTAATTTTTTGGGGGGGTTGGATATGTATTGTTTTATTTTCATTTTGATTCTATGAACTTGTTCATGAATTTTTACTTTAGCTTTTTTGCCTCAGCAACATTGCCAAAATTAGAAGTTTTCTGTTCAAAACATACTAAAGAATTTATCATTTGAAGGCGGGACTGGAAATAGATTTTAAATTCTTAAAGATATAAAAACCATAATGATAAAGCTCCATTATATGGCTGATACTTGAAAGCCCCATATTTTCCCAGCAGAGATCTTCCTTCTCCATGGAACAAACTCTCACTTACAGTCTTTGACATAGTCTCTATATTAGGCTAGAGACTAGGCTCATCAGAAAAAGTACAAATCATTGATTTGTGAGACCCCTGGTTTGAATTCCAGATGGGTCAGAAGGGGCTTTAGCTGCAAAAAAGAATTGACCTGTTATGTGTTCCAGTAGTAATTAATTGCTGTTTCGACCCCTAATTATCATTTTCAGTCTTCAGATTTTGTTCACAATCTGTCCACGTAAAATTAATAAATGCGAAAAGAATAATATTTCTTTACTTAAAGATTGTTTAAAACTCTCATACTGTACCTGTGGTTACATCGGGAAAATCAGTGGACCATCCACACATAGCTGCATAAATCAGAAGATACAGTGATATTTTTATTTATTTCACAGTGGAAACCAATGGAACCAAAACATTTCTGATAATGGAGGCAAAAATAATGTATGCTGCAGAGTTTTCACTTACAGTGGTAATCATGACAGCAGTTTCCATTCCACTGACATGAGGATGAGCAGGAGCAGCTTCCCATATCAGAACCACAGTTGTAACGGCAGGAAGGCTGAGCTGTGAGAAAGGAGAGAGGTGAATGAATTTTTAAAAAATTATATGTCATCTATTTTTAAGCTTATTTTAAAACGTTTAAACATCCACCATTATTGTTTAAAACATTATATAACTGCACAGAACATTTAAAAAAGTTTCATGATCTGGGCAAAGGACTGGCGACCTGTCCAGGGTGTACCCCGCCTCTCGCCCATTGACAGCTGGAGATAGGCACCAGCACCCCTCGCGACCCCAATTGGGACAAGCGTGTCAGATAATGGATAGTTGGATGGATGGATCTGGGCAAAATTTTCATTAAATTATTTTGTTTTTTATTTTACAAATTTGGATATGTCTTGTTTCATGTTGTTGGGTTTTTTTTAAATAAATTTTAGATTTATACATTTTTCTATAAATTATAGAATTTTACTTAATCTTTTTTTACCTCAGTAGTATATACAAAATATATACAAAATGCTACAGAATGTATGATTTGAAGGCAGGACTGAAAATAGGTTTAAAATTCTCCAAAATATAAAAACCCTAATGATAACGCTCCATTATATGAAGTCTAGGTGGAAATTCAACTGAAGAAACTCATTGCTTTCCTTCATCCACCTGCGACACAGCCAATCAGCTTTGAACCACACCTCCACGAAAGCCAATCGGCATCCAAAGTTCATTTTAAAAGGCCTCTGATACGCACCTGTCTGCTCCTGTGCGCAGGCGGCGGATGCACTGTGTGACTTCACCCAGATGACACTGTTTCAACCCACCTCCAGCCCCTCCTCCACCTTCGTAGCTAAAGCTTAATCAGTGTCATTCCTCCCGCACTCTTACTGCGTTCCCTGTCTCATCTCAACCTGACCAGAAGAAGACCGCCAGGTTGAGCCTGTTCTGCCAGAGGTTTCTTCCCAACGGGGAGTTTTTCCTCTCCACTGTCGCTTCATGCTTGCTTATCATGGACAGGTTCTCTCAACCTGTGTTATCCAACTGGACTTCCATCTTCCAGTGCCCTGAGTAAAGCTCTAGTATCAGCTCACGCAGTCCACTGGATCTCCCCATAAAGCTCAGCATACTGTCTCTCTAACCAGCAGTCTACAGACTGACCAACCTCATCTATCTCCACTCCACCACCAGTTTCAGGCCTGGGGGAGAAACAGCCCTATTCTTTGCTCCTGTTCATGCATATCTATCAAAACTAAGCACTGTGTTTCCTGCAGAGGTCTGAGCACCAAAGACAAAGTAATTGTATCAATAAATTTCTCCTAATTGTCTTTTCTCTTCGTGTGAGTTTTTCAGATTGAAATGGCAGATACTTGAAAGCCCCATGTGTTCCAAGCAGAGATCTTCCTTCTCCATGGAACAAACTCTCACTTACAGTCTTTGACATATCTATATGTTAGACTAGAGACTAGGCTTAAAGCCAAGAATAGATCTAAAGTTTTACCTTTTCTTAAGCTTATACTTAAAGGATTTCATGTAGCTCAGCTTAGCTGAGCTATCTCTGTAGGTACGCTGCTATATTCTAAGGATACTAGAGGACAAAATGTTTCGTTTGCTTATTTTCCTTCCCTCTAATTTTGTGGGCGAGGGGGTGGGGGGTGGGGGGGTTGGTTGTTTGTTTAAGCTTTGTCTTAAAGAAAAACATTTCTGATTTAAATATAAAAATGATCATGACTGTTATTGTGGCTTCCAAACAGATCCTTTTAGAAGCCGAGAGCTGGTTCAGATCCTCTTTGTTGTCCTATTTGTGACGCGACCTAAAATCTATTGTAACAGATATGCTGACTTCTAGAAAGCTGTTGTTTGGTTTATTACCACCAGCATAAGCTATGGCAGCGCAGCAGGGATGAATATAGCAAAAGATATGAGATCAGTTGATTAATATACGGTAAACAAATGAATAGCGAAGCAAAATAAAAAGAAGCAGTCAAACAAAATTACGACAGCCCCACCCTGACTCTCTCGTCAGTGAGACAGGTGAGTGCGCACCTGTACACTTACTTCCGTGATACACAAACATTCATAACCGGTTTCCATTATATCTCCTAAAACAGTCTTGTTTTATAAAATTAATAGAACTGTATTTAAGTCCCTTCATCAGTACTGAAATAATCTGAACGTTTCTACTTAATCTTCATAATACAATCTCGAAATATTATTTTACTTTTAATTTTATATGATAAAGCAAAACACATACGTCTCTGACTCATCTTGCATCCTGGTTACTTAGACACAAGGATATGCCTTTGGCCGACTCAAGTTTTAGCCTATTCTCTGTAAGACATCTAAAGCTCAGTCATACTGAAAGTAGTCCCTGTTAAAACTGCATTTCTCAAATTTTTCCAAATATATTTTGTAGGATTCAGGTCTGGTCTTTGTTTCAGAAAGTATGGTCCAATCAATTCCTTTATGGCACATGCCACATGTTTAGAATTGCCTACTTATCTAGTTTCAAGTGTTTTGGACATAAGCTTTGCTCAGCATTCCTTTTGTGAGACCCAGATTTGAATCGAAGATGTGTCGGGAAGGGCATTAGTGGTTTAAACTCAGCCAGGAGTATGGTGAAAGTGGTAAGGAAATGTTACTGCAAGCCCTAGTTGATAATTTTCATCATCATATTATGTGCACGATCTGTCCCTATAAAATGCATTAAAAGAAAGAATAAAATTTCTTCCCTTGAAGAATGATTTAAAACTTTCTTACCTGTAGTTTGAGCATCAGTGATCCATCCACAGTGATCTGCATAAATCAGAAGATAAAGTGATGGTGTTATTTCACAGAGAAAACTATTGCAGCTAAACCATTTGTTGTTATGGATGCAAAACTAATTGATGCTGCAGAGTTTTCACTTACAGTTGTAATCATCACAGCAGTTTCCATTCCATTGACATGAGGATGAGCAGGAGCAGCTTCCCATATCAGAACCACAGTTGTAACGGCAGGAAGGCTGAGCTGTGACACAGGACAGAATAGTCCATTAATTCACGAAAGTATGCAATGTTTGCTTTTCCAACAGTCATTTATAATGACATGCCTGTAAAATAGTCAAATAATTGGAACTTTCAAATTTTATTTCCATGTCACAATCCCAACAAAGCTTTTCCCAGTAACTTTATGTTTAAGCAACATATAGCAGTGTATATAATTGTATAATTTGTACTGAAAGAAATAAAAGTATGTGACAAATCTTTATGTATTTTGCTCTCCATGATCAATTTTTCATAGATTTGCAGACAGAGTTCTAATTTTTAGGATATGTCTCTCCGATCTTTATCCATGTATAGAGTCAAGTTTACCTGCTGTCTCTAAAACATCTAAATTTCAGTCAGACCAAAAGGAGTCCCTCTTTGAACAGCATTTCAAGCCTTCCCAAATAGATTTTGTCGGAGTGACTCAGTTCTGGTCATTCTAGCAGAAGGCATGATGCAAACCGTTTTTTAGCTCCTGCCACATGTTTAGGCTGCCCCCCTCCACTGTTTCATGTGGGTTTTTTATGATACTCGTTGTGGGTTTTCTTTAACTCTGCTTTCTTCTTACCACTATAAAATTCAAATGAATGTCCTCTCAGATGATCTCAGGGCTGTAGCTCTTCCCTTTATTCTCTGATTAAGGCCTGTTAATTTAGCTGCCTTACCATTTCTTGGTGAGCCTTTTGCCATAATCCTTATGCTTTATGTGGTTTGAACAGTAAATTCTTATTTTGTTTTATAAATAATAACCCTGCTTCAGTCTCGTACCTGCCATTATCTCTGGCCTCCCTGCTGTGTTCCCTGACCTCCAATCTACCATTGTTCACCAATGTTATCTAACACATAACTGGAAGCTTCAGGGAAAGGCTGGATTTACATCAGATCAAAATAGAGGTGGACTATTTAGTAATGGAAGAGACATCTCAAGTAAAAGCATATTTTTCAATTAGCTTTTTTGTAAAAATCAAACATAACAATATACAACTGTCAGGACTCCTGTCTGTGTGTTTGTGTTTCTGTGTTTGTCTCCCTTCCTCCACCGGGAGGCGCCTAACTCTGGTCCGCCTCCTCACACACCTGCTGATGGTTTCCTCATTAACGGAGCGTTCTTAAGCTGCTGACAGCCACTACTTCGACGGCAGAGTGTTTGCAAGTTTGGGGTACTCTAGCCATGCTTAGTTTAGCAGAGTCTAACCTGAGTTTTTGCTTTGCCAGTTTTGGGTACTCTAGCCAAGCTGAGTTTTGCTGAGTCAAACTGAGTTCTAGTCTACCTGAGTTTTACCTTTGTTTTTTGTCTTTGCCTCTCGGCAGGAAGTCATCCTGCAAACTGGATTTTTCGGACATTCTCTCCCTGGAAGGATCAACTGAACTACAAACTGAGCTGGGGTTTAAACAGGAGGTTTGGATCCACTTTCCCCAAGAGATTGTTTGAGCTTCGCACTGAGAAAGGGATTTACTACGACCCGTTTAAGTACCACAGGAAATCTGAGTGTCAATCAGTTTGTCCGTTCACCTATAACAACCGCATTCTGGGTAAACCCTGTTCCACCCTCCACCGAATCAGACAAACACTGGAACTACAGCATACAGACTGGAGTCAAGGATTCAACAACTTCTCTGGAAACGTGAGTCAGCAACCAAATCCTCTTCTCCAATTTCACTAGTCAAATTTCCCACTGAGCCTGAATTAACTGCTGTGTCTTCCCCTCACTTTTCAGTTCCGGTTGAGCAGTGTTCAGAGCAACACTTCTCTCTGAATTATCTCTTCAATAAAACCTGTTAAACCTTTTCCCTGGTCTCCCTGTTTGGTCCTCTGCATTTGGGTCTGAACCTTAGTAAAATCATGACAACAACTTCATCAATTATATACTATCTACACAGAATGTAATGGAAGTTGCACTTGCAACAAGATAAAAACATGGAAAAGTCTAGAAGGTGCAAATACTTTTCCAAGATACTATAA